GTAGCAATCAGTTGTCTGCTGCCATGTAGCAATCAGTTGTCTGCTGCCATGTAGCAATCAGTTGTCTGCTGCAATGTAGCAATCAGTTGTCTGCTGCCATGTAGCAATCAGTTGTCTGCTGCCATGTAGCAATCAGTTGTCTGCTGCCATGTAGCAATCAGTTGTCTGCTCCCATGTAGCAATCAGTTGTCTGCTGCCATGTAGCAATCAGTTGTCTGCTGCCATGTAGCAATCAGTTGTCAGCTTACTATGTTGCAATCATGTGTCTGCTGCCATGTAGCAATCAGTTGTCTGCTGCCATGTAGCAATCAGTTGTCAGCTTACTATGTTGCAATCATGTGTACCGGTACTTACTCTATCTTTTCCTCCTATCGTTCTGTTTATGTATGAGCAGTATTTAAGAAAGATTTTATATACTTTTTCATGTGTACTCAACTTGTTATACTTCTCCGGCCTTCAATTGTTCGTAAAATCATGGTAATATTGGATAAACATTGACAATTGTATGAAATGTTGTGTGCGGTCTGAACGCTTCTTACCGTTTGTTGAAGATACCTCATACGCCACCCAAACTGTCGAAAAAAATGATTTACTATGCCACGAAAAAAAACTATTTACTTCTATATACTTTTTACTAGTAATATAGTAAAAAATATTTGCTAAATATTTACTTTCACCCAATAACTTATTCACTGCACTATAATAAAAAGATTTGCTAAAAATGTCTCCATAATTTTGTTGAACCCAGTCGGCCGCAAGGTTCGGAGGCCCAGATGCCGATGTCGGCGTCGGACGTGAAGTCCACAAACCCAGACCACGTGGGCGGCTACAAGGTGGCCGTGCCCATGTTCCGGGGCATCGAGTCCAAGTTCGGCCTCTTCCTGCCCCGCTTCCAGGCTGCTTCTCCTGCCCCATCGACATGAGACGGGAAAATGGATGAGGAATAGCAAGCATCGATGCATTACTTGAACTGCCATTACATATTTCGATTAATCCATTAATGAATTACAGTGATAGTACAGATCTATAGGCAAATTAGAAGCAGCGTTGACAGCAATAATACGCAGCGATGCATTGCTTTTCTGCCAGTAAAATATCTATGAAGTAATTAATTATCTTGAGGTATGAGTATGATCTCTACTGATGAGTTCTAGCAGCAATAGCACGCGTCGATGCAATAGCTACGCTCCATCACACTTTTATATAAATGATGTAGTTACCCCCTGACGAAAGGAAACTCGATTAACGAAATGATGTGTAATCCGCCGTAGTAAGGAATATTCCTTGAAAAGATCATTTATTGTTCGATGATTTAGAAGGAATGATGGAAAGTATAAAATAGAAAGAAAAAATGATAATTTAGAGCCTGTAGAGATTCCTTCAAGTCGATGAGTTCAATAAAAACGATGACTTTTTGCTAGGATGTTAACTCGGAAATTTTTCTTAAGTAAATAATCAAAATAATCACACTGGAAAACTATGGGAGAATAAATTCGAGTTTAATCAAAGGTTATGACTTATAGGACTTAATCTATATCACGATTCTCTATAAATACGTAGAATATAACTGATGGGAGAAGTCCAATCGTTTCAGTTCGAGTCGTGCCAAGTTTTTTAGATATTAAAGCTTGGCTTTTATTTCGGCATGAACTTGAAGTTATATTGAAATTTCGATACTTGATAAATGGACTGGTATTGTTCAAGTTTAAGCATTGATCTGCTCAGCTTTTATCCAGCTGCTTAAGATATTATTTTCATTAAATAGTGAAGCACGATTACGATTTGCTATATGATTAAATAAATTAGAATCACTGCGGCACGAAAGCATAGTGTTAAAGGCACATGTGTACAAATTTGAATATCCAACGATGGAATCATGGCCGTGCTTATAATAACGTTGTTTTACTTGCTTTGAAACGAGCCAATGTCATAAATACTCATTACCTTTGTAATTTGAATTGTTACGCTGTGCCAGATTTTTGGCAGGATGGTACCATTATTTTTCTTTGTGTTAACGAAACGGAAAAAGTTTATTCGAAATTATCTATAGTTTAGATAATTAGATGCTTTATTAGAATTAACCCCTACCTAATATATATAATTTACAAACTTATGATTTGTTAGTTTAAAATATGGCAAATATGTATTAAAACTTGAATTAGGTGTGTTTCCTACACTCGATGTTTCGAATTGCTCTTCAAAACTTCGATAGAGCTTTATTAATAATCCAAGAGGAATGGCGTAGTGAAAACTCAATTATGTTTATAAATTTTATAATGGGTATGTTTCTATTTATTATTGAGGCCAGCGAAGTATGTGAAAAGCAATTTTGGGTTTGAAAAATTCCTGTTGGCGGTTGTCTTATTAGCACAAATTGTCGAGAATATATTTTTTTTTTCGCTTGAAAGTGGGTGGGGGGGGGTGTGTTTGCTCTCGTTAGGCCATTTCTTTATCTTTAGTTTACGTGTAAATTATTTAGACTATTGGCATGGAATATATTCAGCCATATTCCTCCTGTATGGAAAATGAAGTTGTGCGGGTTGATCCGATTAATGCAGTGACTGAATTCCGCCAATATGACCTAGAATAATATTAGTCATCGATGTACAATATTACAATAGATATTTTCACCTTGCGCAATTAATGGTGGCATCTACACTACCGTGCCTGCCACTAGTTGACGCTGAGCCAGGAATTATAAACCTTGTGTTTCTCCATCGTTTTCATTTTTAGAATTTGACTACCAGTTCAATAATCTGTATGAAATGTTTAGATACGTGGGACCTAGCGCAGTTTTCTTGGGGATTTTTAGAAGAAAACATTGTTCCTTGACTGGTTTCATGACAATCAGGCTCTCGAATATTTGTTAGGGAACAGCAATTTTATTTAGATTTTGATTCAACAATCGAAAAAATTGTCTGGCTTATTTCAAGAAGTTTTCAGTTCTCCTCTCCCCCCATCCCCCATCCAACTCATTTCTAATGGCAAGCGGTGGTATTTATCAATTTTTTAATGGCAAAACATTATTACGTATATCATTTAAATCTGAGAATACATTCTGTAAAATATTTGTATTTATTTGGGCTCTGCTCTCTATTCATTTGAGATTTTAGTCGAAAAATGGTCAACCCTCCAAAGGTTAATATGAACAACTGAAGACTTCTTCTAACTCCACTCTAATCACTCCACCGAATGTCCATATTAAACAGTCAAATTATTCTGAATAATTCAAGTTCGTGAGCAGTGTTCAAATTCCTGAATAACGTTTATTGCTTCTGACATCACTGATTTGCTCAATACGTACGTAATGTTAGTCGGTGGACTGCAATTAATGTGTTCATATTCGTAAGAAGTTTTCTGCGTGGTTCTCATCATGATTTTCTTCAACAATCATGTCAACATGATTGGTTTCTGTATTATTTTCAACTATTGACGTTATGGCTATCAACTTTTGTGTTGTGTTGTATTTAGCATTTATTTAGCAGTTGATAGTCCCGGTTTGATGACCTGCGTGTTCGATTGCTGTCACGTAACCAGGATCAATCATCGTTATCTTGTCAAGACTGTCGTTCCGACGTGGACGTAACAGGACAGTTGAGCCTTCGTCTATGCAGAAATTTAATATCTTCGATTCTATTCGTATATAGAGGCCTAGTAACGAGGGCTGTGCGGAAGCACGTTTATGCTCCTCAAGACTTCGTATAGGTCCTGAGGACAGGATTTCGTTGACTAAGTGCGTTAGGAATAAGTAAAACACCAATTGTCCAGAGTACTTATCTTGATACAGGGTGGTTATATAAGAGAGATATACTTGTGGTATAAGGCTAAGGCCTCGACCGTTATTTCGGAGTAGCTCTATTCTCAGTAACTGGCAAATATGGCGCCATGTAACTCGCTGTATAGCTACTCTGACCTAACGTCGACATCTTTAACTTATACCGCTAATATAACTCGTGTATAACCACCCCGTATCAAGATAAGTACTCTAGACAGATGTTGTCTTACTCATTCCTCACGCACTTAGTCAACGAGCTATACTGTCTTTGGGTTAAGGTAGAATATACTTAAGGTAGAAGCTATGGAAAGATCGGGTTCCAAAGGCCAGATCCCTTGTGAATCAAGTCGCGAAAAGTTCAAGAATCGGCAACAGGCCATGGGCCTATTTCTTCAGCGCAGACAATTCTATTCTATATAATAAGTCAGGAGGCGCATAAACGTGCCTCCAGACAATTTGCGCCGAACAGTACCTACCGTCAGCGGAGAAGAGGTTAGTTAACCTTCTGTCTATGGGTACATAATCCGCCGTCGATTCTATGCCTACATGAAGACCTAGTAACTCAAGTTACTGTAAGTAAATAAAATTCAACCCTTTGTCAATGAGTGCATTTTAAAGCCTTCAATCTTATTCCTATCTGAAGGCCCGATTGTTGTTGTTGTTGTAGCAACATCAACCACTAGTCCGCTCCGAGGCCGATGAAGCGCGCCACATCGATTGGCTGCGTCCAAAGATCGAGTGCCGAAAGTTGTGTCGGTTTGGCCGGGCAGTTGAACAAATGTTGTACGTCGTGTAGCCGATTCCAGAAAGGCCCGATAACAAGAGTTACCGTCAGCGAAGAAAGTATCATTCTGTCGACGGATACATTGACGGTGGATTGAGCAGTTCGCTGCCGTCTGTAAGCAGAGTTTTAGGCCACCACAAGAGTTAATGTTTCAGCATATATCACCTTGCACTCATATTACCTAATCATTATGATATTGAAATATCTTTCAAATGTAATTAAATTTTCTTAACTTAATTTATTTCTTTTGTTGGTCCAAAAGTGTCACTTTTATCGAAATTTTGTACATTACATGCGGTCAAAGTCTCTGCTAAACTCTCTTCCCATTTCAGGCTCGTCACCCAGATTAGTGCACAGAATTATGAATCTTAACAAATATTCTGCATAATTCTTCCCTTTTGTATATATGGTGATGATATGTCCGTACGTGTGTAGTGGTTAACCCATGGTTGTTAGGTATTGTAACCCATGGTTGTTAGGTATTGTAACCCATGGTGGTTATGTATTGTAACCCATGGTTGTTATGTATTGTAACCCATGGTTGTTAGGTATTGTAACCCATGGTGGTTATGTATTGTAACCCATGGTTGTTATGTATTGTAACCCATGGTTGTTATGTATTGTAACCCATGGTGGTTATGTATTGTAACCCATGGTTGTTATTGTCACTCCTGACTATCATCGGATTTATCCGGTGATGCTAGATGGATCTTGCAAATAATGATGCCTTTTTGTTTGGTGCTGGACATTTCTTTAGTTCAAATATGAAGGAGTTAGAAAAAACTTGACGTTTGTAAATAATTTCTGAAGCTAGTTGAGCTCTTAACTTATTATTGTACAGCGATACCGTCAGTCGAATAAAACTCCTTTAAAACATTCCTTTCATTTCCATATAGTACTATGAGATATCTTTTATCTATCGTATTGGTATGGGGTCGTTTGCGTATTCAATGCAAATAAATTTCTAGTCGCGATGGCTATAGTCCCTCTTGATACTTTGAATAAAATTGTCAACTGTTATTATTCTCCCCCTAGTGACACTTGATAATTTTCACTTAATATATCTGATAATAATACGTGATAATTTCGCCATACTAATTTTTAATTTTTCAAAGAGTAATGTGATTATGTTCGGAATTTTACGATAATATAATAATAATATAATAGCGGTTTCAGCGTTTATTAGGCCGTAGGCCTGTCGCCGATTCTTAACATCGCAGAACATTCGCAGCATTTTGCGGTCTCGAACTCGCAACTCAATGATTCAATTCTGCTGTGCTTAACCGCCCGGCCTCCTCGCCGATTCTGACCAGAAACTGGCGCACAGAGCTGGGATCGAACCCGCGCCTCTCTGCGCCAATCCTGGTACTCTTAACTGTAACCACTGGGCCACCCTGCCCGCAGTGGTGACGATGTCGGACACCATCTCCTATCTGACGCGTTTGAGGGCATTTAAAGTTAAATGTTTTCTATTTCAATTCGAATTTGCCTGAATTAGTCACTGGTTAGAGTACATGGGTATTTCATTGTTTTTTTGACGGTACTAAACTCTTCGAAAAATATTCGTTAAACGGTATAAAGGCATTTCAATGAAAGATCGGAACGTGAAAAAACACCGAGTCACCATTATTTCCAATTTAATATGCAAAAACCCGTATAATTTTTGAAAGAAACTGCGTAACGATGTACGTATTTTCACGTGGCGGCCGGCCACTAGAACGCCAGTGAAACCGTTTTTTCACGTTTTTTTCGATCTGTGCTGCAAACTGAAATTATTGTCTATAGTAAGAGAAAAACTCAACGGTGCTACGTCATTTTTAAGGTATTAAAACGATATCCTGCGTCATTTTTTTGTCTTTCAATCATTAAAAGATATAGAAGGAGTTTGAAATAAGAAATAACCATTTGAGATATTGGAAACACTCTCTCTCACTATTCTAACGATTCGTTTCTCCTTTAAATTCGACAGATTTGACTAGGAAAAGTGCATGATGAAATTTATTTTCCTTGAAAAATGAGTTTTCGGCTTCTAGTGTCAGCTCAACAGTTTTGAAAGTATTTGTGCCGCACAAATATTTAAAAACTGCGTTAATTACTATTTAAATACTGGGTTTAATGGATTAATACTGGCCTAAGGCCAGTATTAAAAATATTTATAGGCAAGCAGTGAGTTACGTCTAGTTCGTCGTAAGGCGACTCATGTTTTATCGTCTACAGAATTAAGAGAGAAATAACACACTCGATCATTTCTCTACGCTCGATCAGAGAAGTGAGCAACATAACTGAGATAGTTCAAATAGTGATGCAATTTATTGATGACCCTCGAGTGCGAGTCATCCTGACCCATTTTGGCCCAGGAAAACGGCGTATCAGTGATACGTCCGCTCGCTACTCCTGCCGATGGTAAGTAAGT